TTTTTTCCGCTTATCCGGGGCCGGGTCGCGGGGGGTTACTTACACTGCTTTAGTCCACTTCTTTATACAGTGTGTGGTATACAGAGAATGCATAATGAGCCAGTGTAGAGCTCTGAGGGGCATTGACTGGTCTGTGAAGTGCATTACAAGTGTTAGGCATTGTTATTATAATAATGAATCAAATCTCCAGGAAGAGCTGTTGTCATTTCTTTACATCTAACATATTTTCCGGACTATTGAGTATAAACCAAATCAACGAAATTTTAACAAAATGTTAGAATTGTACATTTATCGGCCGCACCTGAATATAAGTCGCAGGCGTCCACTTCTTCAAGAATGTTTTCAAGTTCAGGCCGTCTGCTTTTGTCGCCTCTGAAAGCTTTTGTCGTCTTTTTGCGTTGAGTCAGTTCGTCATGCTGCCGTCACTAAAATCTCAGGATCATCTCATTGATGTCGAGCTCACGTGCAGCAGCTCTGTTTCCTCTTATTTCCAGCCACATCAATCGCCGTTAACATAAAAGCTGCATCATCTGCATTTCTTCATGTGTTTTCCAAAAGGAGGTTGTGTGTATGAAGAGCAAAATAACTGTTCAAAACTTTCTTGGCGCATCACCCCGTGTCTCTCTGCACTCTACTGCACATGTCTCCTGCAGAAAGAGTCTCTGTCCTGTCTGTGTCATGTCAGTGTCTTGGAGGATTTCAGCAGATTTCAGACTCTCTCGGGGGCGGGGCTACTTCTATCAATCAGATATGAGTGGATATTCAGCTACTGAAGTTTGAGACGTTTCTTCTCGTCATTTACTTACACAGGTAAGATGTATCCCCCTCACTAATGTTCATTTAGCATCAAAACTTATTTTATCACACGACGATAAACTATGGTGACCATATTTCCGTTTGTGAAAACCCGGACACTTTACCGGGGGTGGGGCCCTTGACATTGAGCTACTCTCACCTCGCGAACTGTGCACATGGCCTCCCACTTGTCCCATTTCTTGTATAAGTTATTGTTAAAGGCACATTTGCACTTTGGCATGTTGCAGACTGACCGACTGTGTCTGCTCGCTCCTTCTGAGTTACAGAAAGCTACGAGAGACTCTCAAGTCAATGAACGGTAATGAAAATCCAGACATTTCCATCACTTAAAAAAAACAAAAAACCCAGACGTCCAGGAGACGCAAGAAAATGACATGTCCGGAGAAAAACGGACGTTTGGTCACCCTACAATAAAGTATTTGAGTCTGGCGCTTTCTGCACTCAGGCTGCGTGTATCCGCTGTGTTGCCAAACCATAGACTGTATATATGAATAAACAATGTGCCAAACAAAAAATCCGTCCATATATTCGCCGCATCGTTTAATTAGCAGCAGGGTTTGAAGTGTGAGAAAAAAGTAACAGCTTATAGTCCAGAATTTACGGTATTAGCTCTATGCAACACCGGGCGCAGTGGTTAGGAGTCATGTCTACAGGTTATTTATAAATCTGGGAGGGCCCTGTGCCGCACTGTGCTGCCAAAACTGAGAATTTCACTCTCCTGCGCTCTAATCCATTTTATCAGCAGCTCCTCGCAGAAACAGGCCTGCATCAAACCCGACTGGATCGAGGTGTGCTTCCCCTGGGCATTTCACTTTCCCACATCCACTTTAAACATTCACAGTAGAAGACTTCTCCAGCTCCTCCTCACCACGCTCCAGTTTGAGATCCTCACATGTCCTCAGGAGATGTCGAAGCTCCTGACAGGTTCCTCTGCGCTGGATGAAGGATCGGCCGAATAATGCAGACGCCAAATTTCCCACCAGAACTCCACACATCACCAAATCAACATATTGACAAAAGACGTCAGGCCCGGCCCCCATCTTCAGTTTCCTTCTCTTTCGTTTAACCACTCCGAGACCAGAATCCCAGCCAGCCTACAGCCAGTGTTGGGAAGGTTCCTTTTAAAATGTATTCCCCTACAGATTACAGATTACATACCTCAAAATGTAGTTTGTAACGAAATCCATTAAATTACTTACAGTGAGTAACGTAATCTGAATACTTTGGATTACTTGATTTGCTGTAGAGAAACAAAGACGAGGAAATCTTCACAAAAGAAGTTTTGTCTGATAAAAGACAATCAAAAGCCCAGACTTTACTTAACCAAATTAAAAATATTATTGATAGAAGAGGATTTAGACACGGTCCATGCGGCATGTTTTAGTCCTGTTAAATCCTGTTTTAGACCTAGTTTAAACCTGGTTTTAGTCCTGGTTTAGTTCTGGTTTAGACCTGGTTTAATCTTGTTTTAGTCCTGGTTTAGACCTGGTTTAGATCTGATTTTAGACCCGGTTTGAACCTGGTTTTAGACCTGTTTTAGACCTGGTTTATACCTGGTTTAGTCCTGGTTTAGTCCTAGTTTAGACCTTGTTTAGACCTGGTTTAGACCTTGTTTAGACCTGGTTTAGTCCTAGTTTAAATCTTGTTTAGACCTTGTTTAGACCTGGTTTTAGACCTGGTTTGGACTTGGGTTTAGACCTGGTTTATTGTCCAGCAATGAGTGGAATTACCAAGGAAAAAAAAAAGGGATATAGCCCAAAATGTGAAAGCAGGAACATACCTCTGTGTAATCCATTTATTTCACCAAAGTAACTGTAATCCACTTACCACTCACTGAAACAGTAACTGTAACTAAATACAGTTACTCATAATTTGTACTCTGAATACGTAACTCCGGTCCATGTAATCTGTTACTCCCCAACACTGCCTACAGCGCTCCCTATCCCCCCTCTCACTTAGCTGACTACATTAAAAGAATACTGGCTCTCTCTAATGAGACGCTGGAGAAAACGATGCTCGGTGATCAGCAGTTCTGACAGACAGGGGCTAACCACTCTGCCGCTGGATTTGTGGAAGGGCATCCTCTTTTCAAGTCTGTAGGCGCACAAGAAACACATTATGATCGCAAGGTCGCAGGGGTTCCGTCTGATACGTAAAGCTTGAATAATAACTCCAAAAGAGTCATTTAAATGCAAACACAGGGCCGGCACCTGCAGCCTCACTGTACACATTGAGATGCGGGCGTGCAAGCCACATTAGCATAACAGCACAAACAACGGCACGGGTCACGCTAGATACGGACCAGAACGAACGGAGCATCGGGCGATTTCATTTGTATATTTTAAACATCCCTCTCCAGTGATTGCATTGACAATTTTAAACCACGATTGGATCAGAATAAATAAAGGTCACGTTTGGTTTTGTGATGCAGGCCTATAATTTTCACTATGTTTGAGGTTAAGAATAAGGCAAAAAAATCAAGATAAGAGTTTGCATGAAAATTAAATTCCAGCATGTCCATGTGTCTGATAAGCTTAGAATAAGATCTGGAAGTTAAAGTGGGAGTAAACAGTGGGGCAACAGTGGTTCAGCTGGTAGAGTTCTCTGATCAGAAGGTTGGCCGTTCAAATCCCGCCTCAGTAAACATCATTGATTGAGCAGTCAGATAAATGGATGAGTGGTTCCTTGATGTAAAGCGCTTTGAGTGCACTGAAGGTGAAACAGGCCTGTGTAAAAAGATGACCATGTGAGCATTTACCAAACACATCCACATTTCAAAACACGCTGCTGAAGAAGGCTGTACCTGGAGAACAATTGGCTTAAATTTCCTATAGTGCTCAAGATTGACTCATGGAAGCTTTAATAATGCATCAGCTTCATACAGCGCTTTTCTAAACACTCAGAAACACTTTACAGAGCATTGTTCACTCACTCCACACTCGGTGGTAAACTACTATTATAGCCGCAGCTGCCCTGGGGCAGACTGATGGAAGCGAGACTGCCAATCTGTGTCATTGGCCCCTCCGACCACCACCACCACTTTCATACTAGGCAATGTGGGTAAAGTGCCTTGCCTAAGGACACAACTGGCTCCTGACTGGCGACTGGCGCCCCCCTGTGGCTCCTGATTTTCCCAGTGGTCTCACATCCAAGTACTAACCAGGTCCGGTCCTGCTGAGCTTCTGAGATCTGACGGGATCAGCCATGTTAGAATGTTGTTGCCTCGTCGAAAACAGACCTGGAGTTGTGTTTTTTTGTTAGTTTTTTTTTCCCATTCACACATGTTTGAGTCACCCTTTATTATTTATCCTAATATTATTTATTGTTAATATCTGTCCACATGCCTAAAGCTCAAAATAGTGTTGCACCTTGTGATCATGCAAAACAAAAAAGAGATCTGTGCAGTTCTTTGTAGCTCCCAAATTTTTATTTCAATGAGTCGCCTTATCAATTTGTCAAAACCTAATCTCATCAGATCTCAGAGGGGCCTGGTTAGGACTCGGAAGGGAGACCATTTGGAATTTTTTGCCAGGTGCCCCAAAACTGTCCTTAGGCAAGACACTTCACCTCCATTGCCTAGTAAGAAAGTGGCGTGTGCACGGGTGATGGTCGGAGGAGCTGATAGCGCAGATTTGCAGCCTTACTTCCACCAGTGTGCCCCAGGGCAGCTGTGGCTACATTAGAATCTTACCACCAGAGTGTAGAGTGAATGAATAATGATCTGTAAAGTGCTTTGGGTGTCTTGAAAGGCTCTATATAAATGCAATGATTAATTAATTCATAACGGCACAATATGGGATGGTTCAGGTCAAGCCCTTCTTCACACACATTTAGCACATTTTTTTGTCTTTAGACCCAGAACACACTTGCAATTTTTGTTGGATGTGCATGTCTCTATCTACCAGTATTGCCAACTTGTGATCATGACATGTGCGAATACTTTGTTAACCTCCAATTTTACCCCTTTATTGTTCAGCAGAGATTTAAAATGAAATTGTCCAAATGATTCTAATGAAGGTGTGTGGAGTCTAACAGCACACTGTTTTCTGTTTGTGATAAGAACTCTTAATATCCTAATTAGTTGTGGGTTAAACATGTGAATGAATCAAAACACAACTCCAGGTGGGTCTGACGTCTATTTTGTGTAGCACCTTTAAATAATAAAATAACAAGAATAGACGGGCAACAGTACTAAAGCAGTTTATTCAAATAAACAAAGGAAACATCACAAAGACAAAATAGCTATAAATCTGTTGTTGTTTTTGTCATCCTCATTTTCAAACTTTTCACATTTCTCCAGACAGATCCTGAAAATGTCTCCCTATAAACTGGAACGCTCACAGATGGGCTTGTACAGGTGAACTAAGTATTATTCCACACGCACGCTTAGACCACAAGTTTGGTCTTTTCGTAGTCCGATCGAGAGGCTAAGAGGCCGCGCTCCACAGCTTGGAAAACCTCCGGGGCTCAGGAATAGGTTGTGTTCATTTTGTACAATTTTCAAACTTCAAATGGAGGGCAAAAGGCATTATTATCTTTGGGTATTTCATTGTTTTTGGGGTCAGGGTTTGTCATTTCAACTCACGCCAATCATGTCGGTTTGATTAAAGAGGGGGTATTTTACTTCCATGGGGTATTAACAGCGAACACATACTGGATTTAGAGCACTACGTTACTTTTTATTGTTTTGAAAATCCTATATTTGCCGAAAACATTCTCAAAAACTAAAAAAAATACTACACTTCACATCAGGTTTTTATCATGCTTTGGTGTATTTACGGAGAATCGTCGAGTGCGTGCGTGGGTGATGTAGGCTCGATTTTGCACAATACCCCCTCTTTAAATACGATACCAAAATAATTCCAGAAAGTTTATTTTTGCCATGCACGGTTCATGTGGATAGGCCCAGTAATTATAGTTATTAATCATAAACTAGGTCAGAGCATCTGCAAAATGGAAGTTTAATTATAGTTTTGGTGTGAAATTGTGTGAAATTGCAGATATTTTGATATGGTTGTTAAAAAAAAGAAGAAAGAACAAAATAAAACGAAATTTAAATTGGGTAACTACAAAATTAAACTATTTTTCAGTCAGAGCAGTTGAGTTGTTGATGATGATGATGCCACTTCCGGGACGAAACGGCTACTTCACCGCTGATTTCTAGCTTTTTTTTCTTTTTTTTCACTGCATAACTTTGATTGGAGGTTCGTCACGTGCTTGTTTCTATGGATACGTCACTGCTCTGCCTGGAATGTTCCACAGTCTGACATTAAACAGCTCTACCTTACATTTATCCAATTACAATTATTGGTTTTATAGCTCGAAAATACCTAGAAAAACAGGCGTTCTGACTATGAACGGGGTCGCCTCTCCACAGATCTGACCTGTAACTTATCCCGGTTTGGTCTCCATGAAGATAGAAAGGTTTATTGCCATACTGTGAAACATTCCAGATGAAACAAAAACATTTCCAAAGAGAAAAGGATGTGACGGACCCTCAAACGGAAAAGTTACACAGTGCACTTTTAGCGACTCTACAGCGAGTTTGCCGAACCCAAGCTTCGCGTAGAGATCAGCGTTAGTGAATTTTCGGTTATTTCTTTCGAAAACTGAACCCGTATCGCCTCTGCCCTCCATGTGATGTTTTAAAAAAATTCTAAAACGTCTAAAACACAATCTTCCCGAGCGCTGGAGCCGGAAGGACGGTGCTGTCGTGTTCTGTTTCTCCGCGAGTATTATTATTTACAATCCGTCGGGTGGAGCCCATTCGTCGCTGTTAGAGTCCGTCGGGCCGTGTGAGGGGGCGGGCGGGAGGAGGAGGAAGAGGAGGAGGCAGAGGAGGCGTTCTGAGTGGGTGGTTTTGATTGATGGGAGGGGGCGGGGCTAGTGGATCCTGGTCAGCTCCTCGACGATCTTGATGACCTCGTCCACCGTCGCCTCGCGCTTCATCCCGCTGCCGTCGTCGATCTGAGAGGAGAGGGGAGAGAGATGGAGAAGGATTGAGAGGGGACAGAGAGATGGATGGATGGATGGATGGATGGATGGAGGGAGATGGGGAGAGGGGGAGGAGAGGGAGAGATCCAGAGAGAAAAAAACGAGAAGAGAAGGAAGGGAGTAAAAGATGAAGAGGGGACAAAGAGATGGATGGACAGAGATGGGGAGAGAGGAGGAGAAAATAAAATGGGGAGAGAGGGTAGAGAGGGAGAGATGCAAAGAGAGAGAAAAAGAGAGGGAGGGAAAGAGAGATGGAGAGGGAGAAATAGCAATATAAGATATATAAAATTTAAGATAAAAATAGAGAGGGGACAGAGAGATGGATGGATAGAGAAAGACGGTGGGATAGAGAGAAATGAATGGATAGAGAGCAAGAGAGAGGGAGGAAAGAGGAAGAGGGGGGCGGCGAGCGAGGGAAAGTAGGGAGAGAGAGGGAGTAAGAGGAAAGAGAAGAAATCAGGGAAGACAGAGAGGGAAGGAGGAGGAAGTGAAAGAGATTGGGAGGGAGAAGGATGAATAAAGGGTTGGAGAGAGGGAGGGGGTGAGAGAGAGATAGAGGAGGGTAAAGAGAGGGAGAGAGAGGGAGAAATACAAAGAGAAAAAGAGAGGGAGGGGAAGGGAGAGCGATAGAGAGAGTGGGATGAAGATGGATAGAGAGAGAGCAAAGGGGTAATGGCAAAATAATAGGGGGAAAGGGATGGAGAGACAGCAAGGGAGAGAAAAGAAGGAGAGGGGAGTGATGAGAGAGAGAGAGGATGAGAGGAAACCAGGGCAGACAGAAGGAAAAAGGTGGAAGAGAAAGATTGGGAGTGAGAGACGGAGAAAGCGAGAGGGAGAAGGATGAATAAAGAAATAGATAGAGAGAGAGGGAGTGAGTGAATGAGTGAGAGGGGGGGGAAAGAGAGAAATACAGAGAAAAAGAGGGAGGGAACAGGAGAAAGATAGAGTGGGATAGAGATGATTGGAGAGAGAGCAAGAGAGAGGGTGGGATAGAGGAGTGGAGAAATGGATCGATAGAGAGCAAGGGAGAGCGGGAGAGGGAGTGAGTGAAGAGGAAGGAGAGGAAACCCGAGCGGACAGAGGGAGAGAGGTGGAAGAGAAAGAGATAACGAAGGAAGAGAGGGAGAAAACGAGGGAGAAGGATGAAAAAAGAGACATGGATGGATAGAGAGGGAGAAAGAGGGGGCATGTGACAGAAAGAGATAAAGTTGGTAAAGAGAGGGAGCGAGAAATACAGAGAGAAAAAGAGGCGGGGGAGAAGAGAGGGAGGGAAACGGAGAGAGATAGAGAGAGTGTGAAAAATAATAGGAGAAGAAGAAGAAAGAGGAGGGTAAAGAGAGAAAGACAGACAGAGAGGAGAGATGGGAATATATATATATATATATATAGAGAGAGAGAGAGAGAGAGAGAGAGAGAGAGAGAGAGAGAGAGAGAGAGAGAGAGAGAGAGAACATCAGGGTAAGTGGCCAAAACTGAACTGGCTCGTCTTAACACTTTTATTTACGTTTGATCAATCGTAATTACAGTGAGTCGTACAAATTGGCAACATTATATGGAGATAAAAAAGCCATATAAATACACTCTCTCTGCCATCTTCCTGTCATTTCAGCACAGTATTTATCCCAAAACAGATGAGTATAGAGCACACTATCACTACTTGGCTCACTTGGGTCTATTTGGGTGTTGCAGTCTGAAGTCTGTGCACTGGCTTCCTGTGAGCTTCAGGAGAGATTTTAAAATTCTTTTATTGGTTTATAAAGCTCTTAATGGTCTTAGTACTATTTATTTATCTGATCTGCTTTTATCATGTTAGCCCTCTTGGACTCTCGGGTCCTCAGGTGGTCTTCTTTTAACTGTCCCAAGAGTCCAGACTCACAGTGAAGCGTCATTCAGTATTTACGGCCCCCATTTGTAGAACAGTCGACCTGAGGATCTGAGGTCTGCTGCGAGTGTTCGTATTTGTAAAAGTAAACTCAAAACTTATCTTTTTAATCTAGCTTTTAATTGAAACTTTTACCTGTTTTAACTTAAATTATTATTATTATATTTGTTTTAAATTAAATTATCATTACTATTTTACTTAGTCTCCATCTGATCTTTGCTCTCCATTTTTATTTTTACTATAGGACCCGGTCAAGCAGAAGTAAACAGCAAGGCCAAAAATTCAAGTTAATGCATCTGATATAAAAATGTATTGAACAGATACATATGTACTCTAGTTTATGAAACTGTTGACCTTTTTTCTGTACCATTTTTGGTTCTAAAGTTCCATACGTTTTAAACAGACCATGTATGAAACATGGAACTAAAATTATTTCCCAAATTTCAAAGACCTGCAAATCATGTAAATAAATGGATGTATTTCATCATATCTTGTGTTATTCCATCTTTGAACTGTTGATGAAGGAAATAGTTTCCTTTTTTTGAAGTAATATTAAAGTATTCGGAAGAAAAAAGTTGACAAATTATGTAAAATCCTGCACCTTCTACTTGGTTTGCACAATTTTCCCTCCGTTACTTTTCCCTCTGTTACCATGACCTTTCTTAATAAAAAATCTCATGACTCAAAAAGTAAGAGGTTTTTCAACCTAATCTTGTACCATATGGTAGAAAACTATATGAAGCAAATATTCAAACCAGTTTGTTAAGGATATGGAAGTGAGAACCAAGAGTTATCACTGTTTGGATTTATTGCTTAAAAAGTGCTGCATATTTCATTCCCTCCGTTACTGACATGAGTTTTTTTTTATTTTTGGCAACAACTTGAAAGAATATCACAGGTTTAACTTGACCCTGTTGGAGTGTAACTCTTTCCTACATTCTGATACTTTACTTATTTCAATAGTCCCTCTAGTTTCTGAATAAGAGACATTTGAATGTAAAAAATCTGCCCGTTTCCCTCCGTTACCACTTGACCGGACCCTATAACCTTTAACCCTATAAGCTTTATGTTTATGTTTTATGTTTCTGTTTAAATTGTTGTATATATGGATGAAACAAGAGGGTGGGGGTAGGGGGTTGCTGTTGTTTTTAATTATTATATTGTAATTTTTCTGTTGCACGTGAAGCTCTTTGTGCTACATTTCAAATGTATGAAAAGTGCTATACAAATAAAGTTTGATTTGATTGATTGATTGCAGGTTAACACTATTTTCAACTTCATTTCTAAAGTTCTCTCCCGATTAACAGATAGCACAACAACTGTATTCTCGAAATGGGAATAATCATTGGGAAGAGTTGGAATTTGTGGTAAAGACAGTCTTGGTTCAAGGTTTGGATTTTGTTGGGTCTAAATGTTTGTTATTAACTTGTATTCCACCTAAAAACACTTTTCCTTTTTTGATGCTACTAATATTTGGAAGTTTAATGGTGTATATTTAACATAAAACAACATTCACATGAAAACATTTATCAAGGAAACAAGTCTTCTGAACACTTTTTTGGGGTTAGTATCGCTGTACTTCAAAACAAAAAGTGCCTTTTAAACATTTGCGGACGTCTAAAATTATTCCTCACTGATCTTGTGCATTCTGAGCATCCTAATTATTCACCGTGATGAGTTTCTAAGTACTTCTCACAACATTCAAAGACCAGATCGAGATTTTGCTGTTGAGGTAATGCTAAGTGAGCACACAGCTGACTTATTTTGACCTCAACAATCTCAGTACATCTGTATTAGGACGGGACAAATCTTGATCAAATACATAAGGAAAAAATGAGGTAATAGCCATTTAAAATTAATGATAGAATTGAAGCTTGATCAAATATGAGATGATGTGCTTTTACAGATTCGTTCAAGGCTTCTGAACCTAAGGACCAGACTAGAGATGTGAAAATGTAGGTCTACAAAACTCATCCCATCACTATATTACACAACGTGTTACACAGAATGGATTCATGTGAGCTTTAAGTCATGTTGTTACCTCCTCAAAAACAAACCTGGAGTTGTGTTTTGTTTCATTCACATGTGTTTGACTAATCCTGCATTATTATTCTGTCAAAATGCTCTGTTCCGCCTTATGATGTCATGAAGCTTCCGGCACCTACTTTTTATCTAGTGTGTGTTTTTTATTTTTTATTGTTATGTTATATACGTGAAAAAGGTCTGAAATCATCCAGATGATTCTCTAGTGAAGGTGTAAGGAGTTTAAAAACACAGTGGAGCACTTCCTGTTTTAGTGCATGAGATCACAAGGCGCAACAGAGTGTTTTCCGAGAGTGTTTGAGAGAAGAACTCAGCCTAAACATGCGGGGTTGGTGCGTTAAACGTGTGAATGAAACAAAACACAAGTCCAGAGACGTTTCTGATGAACACAATTATAACACAGATCAGAAAACAGCGACTCATTTACACCTGTGTCCTCACCTGTAGTGTGCTGACCACCTCCTGCATCTTTGCCCGTCCGAGGTCCAGGAAGCTCTCGATGAGGTCTCCGTCAATGAAGCCTGTGGCCTGCTCCGTCTTTCTCTCCGTGTGGAAAGACCTCCAGGTGCAGAGAGAGTCAAGGAAAATGTACACACAACATGGATCACCCCTCCCCGGCACTGAGAAGAAACTGGAGCAATGTAGGACCAATGTAGGGATGTAACGATGACAGAAATATTGTGATCTCTTATCATCAAACATAAAATCGTGGGCCATCACAATATATCGAATCACAAGTCTCTCTGCTTAAATTAATAATTATAGTGCAGCAATAGCTAAAAAACAGAGGGAACTACATAGACCATGATGCTTTGCTCAGTTTCAGAGCCGATTACATGAAGAAAGTAACTGTTATAAGCACTTTTAAATCTTAACTCTTTTCTTCTGGATTACGATTGAACCAAAGTCTTGTCAAGGCATTTTAAAAAGAATAAAGGAACATATTTACAATTTTGTTAACCTCCACAAAATATTGCAATAAATATTGTACTGTGAGATGTATATCGTGTAAGTATATCGTGTAAGTAGAGATTTGGATATGTGCCACATTTACATGAGAGCTTTAATTCAGAATAAAAAAATAATTCTAAATAAAAATGTATTAAACACGTAAATGAGAAAAAACTTAATACTGAAGTAAGTGGGTGGTTTATTCCAATTTTAAAGTTGAATTAATTTAAGTTGAATTAATTTATTCCTAGATCATGTAAACGTTTATTGTTCTGCTGCTTCTTTATCATCAGAATAACTGCGAAAAAAGTTTGGATCATGTTTGTGTCCGTGGTGTAACAACAAACAGAAATGACAAAAAAGCCAGTAACAGTTGAAGTGTGTGTTTTCTTCCGGTCGACGTAAATACGTTTGTGTCTCTGTCCAGTCAGAACCCTTCCTGACCTCCAGACGTTGATCGGAATTAAATAAAAGTGATTTAACGTGTTTTCCATTTAAACCTCAATTTGGAATTATTATTTCCATGTAAACTCGAAAGAGAATATTTTAATTCCGAACTATTTAATTCAGAACGATTAATTCGGAATTAAAAAAACAAGTAAATGTAGCCAGTGTTACATTCCTAGTAGGACATTTAAAGTACATATGACATATTTCATGTATTTTCTCATTCTGACTTGGTTTAGTACCTGGGATAGTACCTGTGATAAATATGTATCATAATTTCACATCAGTCAAGTGGAGGGTTGTTAAAAAAAGTTGAGAAAAAGTACAAAAAATACAGACAGTAGCGCTGAGTTCTAAAACAGAATCGCTGTACTTACTGTATGCCATCAACTGAAAATTCCAAAACTAGTACTGAAACTAGATACTCGTTTGAGCTGGAATCAGAACTAAAACAGAAAACAAGACAGAAAACGTTTCCTGAACAGCTTTAGAATGATCTTGAGAGCTGTATCACCATGGAACGTACCTGGACCACTGAGAAATTACACAAATATAAGACTACATGGTGATATAAAAGAAAGTACTATGATTTAATGTTGAAAATCATATTCTAGTATTGTCTGAAGAAAGAAGCTTTATAAAAATGATCACTTTGGTATGGGTATCGAGCCTATTCCTTCGGGTTTTAAAATTTTAACATAAAAAAACACACTTCTTACTGTGCAAAGTCTAAATTGCTCCATTATCTCTTGATGAAATAGCATGTGTATACAAAGTGTAGCCTGCTGTCTAAAACAACCCTTAAAAACAACAGAGCGGCGCTTTACTGGCTTCCTCCGCTCAACGACTCCCCGTTAAACAAGCGCATGAGTAAGTAGTCCGTCTAACCAAACATTTTTACGGGGAAATAATTAACTTTTGAATCAAATGACTGGGAACAGCTGCTATGCTAATTGGCTCGCGGTGGCCCAATTTCTCCTTTGGTCCCTAGTCGTTTTCAATCAGGCAAATGGCTGTGGAAAAGGCTATCAAGTACTTAGAAAGGCGTTACCATTATGAAAGCATATATTTTGTTTGGAGTGGGCACGACGTTAGCGCCAGTGCTGCCAGATTTATGGTACTGTTGGTTTATTAGTACTTTCATGTAGAATTTAAAGGTATGTGTCGTTGCTCTGCCTGGAATGTTCCATAGTGTGACATTCAACAGCTCTTCTACCTTATATTTATTCAATACATGCATCCCGAATTTCAGACTTCTGGTCAGCGCGCAATGCATACTGGGAAGGATCCTCTGAAGAAGTGAGCATCAAACCGCCATGTTTGTTTTCCCAGTGGGATGCGTCTAATGTCAAAGCCGATCTTTTCAAGTCTTTTGAACCATATCGCTTTTGTTTCTGGTTCTGATATTGTCATATTTTAGTTTTGGGATTCAGACATCGTAATTGTGTGGTTGTTGGATGTCCTAACAGCGGAAAATGGCTCGAGAAATGGGCTTCGGAAGTTTGCGAACTCCACAACTGCAAAAAGGAATCAGATCTGTGTGACTGCAAACCTCCATTCAAACTATTTCCCTTCCCAACAGAATTGAAAAATACTGAAAGACGAAGGCGATGGGCAGTACTGATCCACAGGAAAGACGAAAAAGGAAACCTTCGGCTGCCTAAGAAATCATCCCGAGTCTGCAGCGAACATTTTGTATGTGGAGCGCCATCAAAGCAAAAACCCGATCCCTCGCTCCACCTTGGTTATGAATTTAAAAAATCAACACCAAGAAACACCTCCCACTGCAAAGCGACCAAGATGTGATGCTGTAAAGTCAAACAAGAAAGTGCGAGCTCGGCCTGCTCATCTTCTGAACCTCTCGCTTAACAAACGGGATTTTGCTTTGTTGCTTTGTCCACATACAAAATGTTCACTGCAAACTCGGGATGATTTCTTAGGCAGCCAAAGGTTTCCTTTTTGGTCCTTCGTGTGGATCAATACTGCCTCCGCCTTCACCTTTCACTATTTTTCAATTCTGTTGGGAAGGGAAACAGTTTAAATGGAGGTTTGCAGTCACACACATCTGATTCCCTTTTGCAGTTATGGAGTTTGCAAACTTCCGAAGCCCATTTTCCACTGTTAGAACATCCAACAACCACACAATTGCGATGTCCAAATCCCATAACTAAAATAAGACAATATCAAATTTGGGATACATATATAACAGGTGGTTTTATAGCTCAAAAATACCTAGAAAAACAAGAATTCTGAATGTAAGTGGGGTCACCTCTCCACAGATCTGTCCAGTAACTTGGTCTGGTTCAGTTTCCATGAGAATAGAAAGGTTTAATTCCAATCCAGACAAAGCAATAACATCTCCATGGAGTAAAGCATTTGATGGACCCCTTACTAGAACAATGACACAATGCACCTTTAAACAACAAAATCCCTTGAACTGTCTCTCCCTATAGTCGTATTAGAACTACTTTAAACAATAGAATGTGATTTTCAACATTAACTCCTAGTACTTTTTCTTTTCCCATGTGGCCTTTGTTACAACCCAGCTCGCTAGGGTCAGAGAAGCAACAAAAACCAAGATAATAAAAGGGTATAAAAGTAAAGTAATAATTTACTCAACAGGGATGTAAAAGGCAAAATAACAAATGTGGTCTAAAATATTAGCTGGGATATAAGCAGGGAGTCCCTGCTTAGACTGCTCCCCCCGCGACCCGGCCCCGGATAAGTGGAAGAAAATGGATGGATGGTCTAAAATATACACACAGCATAACCTAAACTAAGAAGCAAAATAACAACAATGAACAAATAACAAGTGTGACACAGGTCTATACAAAAACAAGTGACTAAACTAAGGGACACTTAGGCCCCATCCACACTAGTACGTATTTGAGTTGTTTTTGTTGTGGATGCAGTGTTCGTCCACACTAATCTGATTGAAAACAGCTCCAGAGAAGGAATGATCTGGTGCCCCTAGCTCCCATGAATTCATTTCTGTACGGATCTGATCCAGCACTGTATGGATGTCTGAAAATGTTGATTCGTTGGTGTAGTTCTATGCGCTGCAAAGTAATTCACCTCCAAAACACTAAGAGGCTAGAATATATGCCCATTCATATAAACGGTCTGTGTGTGTGACCTGCAGACGTATAATCTCTGAAAAGTTTAACATGAACCATCTCCAACGCGATAGAAGCACAGAACAGACTCACCATCAGCAGAACACCCCTCTGTCACAGAAAGAACACTCATAATCCACTGAGTCGTGTCCTTTAGTCCGACAGAAGCCAGAAGCAACATCAGCGCAAAATAGCGAGCTGTTTTTTGAGCGCTCAGTTTATGCAACTTAGCCATGCGGGTTTAAGTTTTGCTTCTGTAAAATGTAAAATATGCTCAAAGCTGTGTGGATAGGGAAGGCTTGTGGACACAGAAAGTGTCTGGACGCAGATCGTTTCCGATACGGTGATACGGTGATTTGTTTCAGTGTAACCGCAGTCTTAAAACAAAACTAAATCACCAGTGTCCCAAAATAAAGTTACATAAACCTACAAACACAATCGAGTAACAAAAAGTAAAAAAACAAAATAGAAAACAAAACAGAACTAAATTAAACTAGTGTCTCGCACACAAAGTCAGACACATACTGGTACAAACAAAGTGACACAAAAGAGACAGAAAAACACACAAAATGGCATATGAGCCACAAAGGCCAGCAGCCCCGAACAGGTGACCTTATATCAGTGTAATCCCTCAGTGGTTCACGTAGTAGTCTATGTGCTCTTATACTTGTTCTGATACAGCTCAAAATCATTCTAAAGCTATTCAGGAAAGCCTCATTTCTGTCCTATGAATGGGACTTAATACCAGCTCAAATGAGTACTAGTTTTAGTATCAGTTAGTCTTTGATTTCAATATATTTGACAACCCTATGTACCCCTAAGTAACTTGTGTAGTTTGTTTCCATGGAGATGTAAACTTGTACATCTCTAGACAAGCAAGAGACACCACAAGGCCAGTGTAGAAGAAAATATGTTCTATTTTTAGCTATATAGTTATATAAATGCAGGAGATAAATGAAATACTTAAGTGGTACAAACCAGAACAATGACATCCCCATGGAGACGAGCACAAAGTTTAGACTATGCACCTTTAAATAGGTGGAGGGTCCATCAAATGCTTTTCTTCATGGAGGTGTTATTGCTTTGTCTGGAATGTTTCACAGTATGGTAATAAACTTTTCTATCATCATGGAGACCAAAGCAGGTCAAGATCTGTGGAGAGGCAACCCCACTCACAGTCAGAATAAATGGACATTAACTTACACTGGAATATTTTGGCCCCTCTTTCTCTACTTGCTGCAGTGAGCCTCATCATTTTGGTCTTAAAATGTTTATATTAACCTGCGCTATTTTATCAGATAAAGGCTGGTTCCAAATACACTTCTGTAGCCGCTGGCATTGTGAGCTTCATTTGACTGGAGCCGAACGCGGTGGGAGACGTCACTCTCACTTAGTCCACTTTTTTATACAGTCTGTGGTCAAAATGTCTGTTTTTCTAGGTATTTTTGAGCTATAAAACCACTGTATTTGATTAAATGTAAGGTTGAAATGTTTAATGTCATACTGTGGAACGTTTCAGACAGAGCAATGACAGAAGCACGTGATGAATAGCCAGGCTGGCGCCACCTAGTGCCTCAGCTCAATTACATTTTTTCCCAGCGACTAGGTCAGGAATCAAAATACAATAGACGGTTCGCAAAAACCCCAGAAGTGCGAGTCTGGGCACCAGTCAATCAGCGAAGAGCCGTATATTCTGTGTTGTCAACGATTCCCGAGATCGAGGATTTAAAGAGAATGTTCGGTGAATTTTATCAAAGGGAAAGACGTTATTGCCCTTCTTCCTACGGGATTTGGGAAAAGCTTAATAGACCAGTTAGCCCTGTTAGCGGCGCATTACATACGTCACGACCAAATAGCAAAGATTGGTTAAATAAAAAATGACCCGCCTACTGTCGAGCAAACAAATTCTAATGCTGCGAGATCAGACACTTTCCATCAAGTGAAACCGGCTAATGAATCAGGCTAGGTGATGAACCACCAACCAAAAAAAGTTAAGACAGTGCAGTTTTAAAATCGTTTTAGTTCAGCGCATTAGCCGTTGCCGTGGTGAAGGATATAAGCTGTGTTCGATCTTGCCCACGCTCTTGATGACTTTGTTGAGGCGGTTTTGCAGGTCGAGCAGCAGACTGTACCAGCCCTCGGATAGAGAGGTCACCAGGCCTGAAACACAAAACAACACAACGTTCAGTTACACTCTTTGGTCCACACTGGGGAATTATTGTGCAAGGGCTTTAGGGTTCTTTCTGTCTGATGTATTTTTACTATAATATAAAATGAAAGGGGAAAATTGTCATAAATTGTATCAAATTGGATTCAAACAGCTTCATGATTTGCTGCTAGTCTATAAGAGACGAAAAGTGTTATGTTGATATATATACTGAACATTTGAACATGTGTTTCTCGTGGTTCAGATATTGTACCTGACGATAATGTCAGTATATTTGTTTTCATGGTAATAAGTGAGAAAATTATTATGTTATTTGTTCAAATATTTAAGATGTGTCAGAACACCACAGTTATTAATTTTATATTTTATTTGTGAAAATATTTACCTTAAAGTTATATGACCTTTTACCTTGCCCCAGAAGTAAACAGAATCAGAAAAATAGTAGCCGCAAAAGAGACAAAAAGATGATAGAGAGAAACACAGAAAAAGGTGTAAAGAAAAAGACGTCAAAATAAAAGACATGCTACTTAACTACCACTGGTGATGTACAGGCGAACACCGTAAATAGTTTTCAGTTCAATTTCAATGCATTCATTTAAAGGTATTTATGTAAAGCTAAGCCTTTTTCTGTGTCTGTCCTTATTTTAGTTTTCACGGTGTTTCAATGTGTTGATGGAGTTGAAGATTACTGAGAATAAATATTGACACATGATCATCAGTACAGAGTGTGAAGTCCTTTTCTGCGAAGAAAACCAGGGTAGCTACAGATATAGTTTTTGGCCCATAAGGAAAAAACGAAATGTGTAGGGGGCTACGTGTAGCTTTCTACCACTTTATAACGTTGTTCCCTCATCAAAAACATAGTAAAATGATAAATGGTCACATTTCTATATCGCACTTCTCCACCTTCAAGGTACTCAAAGCACTTTACATCAAGGAACCACTCACCCATTCACACACCCATTTTATTTTATTTTATTTTTTTATTTAATGAGACAGGGACAGCGCACAATTTACATGAGCCTTAACAGAAGAGACGCTTGTACCAGGTTGTAGCACCAGTGCTCATTTCTGTCTGTCGTCCCTGGGCAGGTTCATTGATGATTGTATTTTAATTGACCTTAGCTATCAACTGTTCTTCCTGGAGACCTGTGTAGCATGTTTTGGGTTCGGGGCATTGATACGCACAGACTCTGACAGGGTATCCCCAGGTTTAACTATACCAAATTTAAGACTTTTTAAAGACCTTTTTAAGACCACTTAAATTAAAATTAAGACCAACATTGCACCCATTATGCAGGTGAAAAACACCAGATCCAGTTCTAATAATGACCAACCAACTACAGTACTATATCTAGAATCTAAAAGCCACTGTGGATTAAACCTACACTTCCCCATGATCCATCCAACGTCTTCCTCCACTCTACTAACTGTTGACTCACTGCCAGAAACCAAAGTATTATTTGCGCATACTCCAAATTAGACGTTCATTCATGTTACGTGTTGTTGTGTTGTTTGTTTTTTCATTAATTAACATTGCACGGCAGCCTGGTTGAGTAAATAAAAAATAGGCTAATGAAATTTAAGACCTTTGTGAAAAAAATAAGACTTGGACCACATCATTTAAGACTTTTTAAGGCCTTAATTTAGGAACATGAAATTTAAGACCTTTTTAAGAATTTTAAGACCCCGTGGCCACCCTGCTCTGAGGGCGAGGTGGGTTAAGTGACTTGCCCAAGAACACAATGACAGCATTCATCTGTGGGAGCTGGAATGGAATCGCACCAGCCAACCTGTGGGCCAGTGGATTTGACTGCTCAGCCGCCCTATGTAACTACATGCACTATGTAACTTTCTGGTTGGAGATTTGTCATCTGCTTGTTTCTATAGAGATATCTTTGCTCTGCTTAGAAAGTTCCACAGTATGATATTAAACAGCTCTACTTTATATTAATTCAATTACAAGTGGTTTTATAGCTCAAGATACCTAGAAAAACAGGCATTCTGACTGTGAGCAGGTTTGCCTCTCCGCAGATCTGACCTGTAACTTGGTCTGGTTTGGTCTCCGTAAAGATAGAAAGGTTTAATGTCATACTGTGAAACATTCCAAGGCAATGCAATAACAATCTAAATCTAATTTGACAGACCCTCCACCAAAAAAGTCAAACAATGCACCTTTAAACTTAAGGGAATTTGATGAAGCTACTCTGTAACATGAATACAAATTAGTACCCTCACTCATATTTAAAAGATCAGACTAGTAAACAGTGACTCCAGAAGGATAAGCCCAGATCTTAGCGGTGTGGCTGCTAGGGTTGGTATCATTAAGACATTGCCGATACGATACATAGGCTACGATACGATATGTTTTTAGATACAGTGCACTTTTCGTTCAAAAGATTCATTATTTTTCAAATCGATTCGACACAGTTCAGTAGAAAAACAAAGGCTAAATCATGACTGTGACACTAAAAGTCTAAGTTTGGGAAGCTATTATAGCTCTTTCACTAAATAATTTAGAAAATAAACAAACAAACAAAAAAAACCTCTTGGCAATATATCAAGATAGCAGGCAACGATATCGATACTGTATCATCAAATTAAACAAAATGATACATAGAAATTTCAATATTTTTGCACACCTCTAGTGACTGCTAAGCTCCAAATGTGAGTGTGATACTGCTCTGAGCTGGGACTGGCTGTGTGGAAACCTGCCATATTTGGAGGATTTCAATAATTCAGCAGCACTCCAAACTGTTTTACCCACATTAGACTCTGGAGGGGGCTGCCCGCGAGGAGGAGGAGGAGGAGGGCGCATTATGAGAAACTGGCTTTTTGTCCAATCTGTCCAAATGAAAAATATTGAGTCAAATTAGGCTGGTTTAAAAAGAAAAAAAATAATTTGTGAAGATGAAATTATGTTTGCGCTCACGGAGCTGTTTTCATTAAATATTAAAACGACATGACCATTCAGCCACATTCACGAGAGCATGTTTTGTACAAGACTTGAGCGTGTTTTACATGATTTTGAACAAAAAAACGCAAGATGGTTTCAAAGTTCAATGTCAAAAAATGAAAAACACATCTACTGCATTTGGAATGTAATGCATTTTTACATTCAAGCACATTTTTAATCATATTGGAACGTTCCAGATTATGGTACTTATTTAGTCAGTGAAGCCTTTACATTTGAAAGCACATTCTTCATAGATTTAATCATGGAGTAAGGACGGCACAAGAACTAAAAGATACACTTGTAATTAATGAGTAAACACACACAGGGGTAAAACGGGGCTACAGTGATCCCTCGTGTTATCACGGGATTACATTCTAATAATAACCCACGATAGGTGAAATCAGCGAAGTAGTCAACTTTATATTTTACAATTATTATATCTGTTTTAAGGCTGTAAAACCCGTCAGCACACACTTTATGCACTCTTCTCATACAGGACACTTACAGCCCTTTTTGCATCCTTCTTAAAACTTATTGCTGCTGTCATCCTCATGTTATTTTCCTTCTTTATGTAACGAACCGAAGATGAATTTATTGTGTAATGGAGCCTACAGCTCAAAGTCCTGCACAGGTCGATTTTTGGAGACCCGCGCAGTACAGCACCGCACCCGCTCAGTACAACACCTCAGTACAACGCCGCAGTACAACGCAACACACGCGTAGTACAGTGCCACACCCACCCGTTAACCCAAGATTAAATCAAACTTTTGCGCTGCCTACGCCATGGACTGAACCAAGACTAAACCAGGACTAAACCAGGACTAAACCAGGACTAAACCAGGACTAAACCAGGACTAAACCAGGACTGATTCCAGTGCTGAAGAGGAGGACTAAACCAGGACTGAACTAGGACTAAAACAGGAGTAAACCAGGACTAAACCAGAACTGAAACAGGAATCAATGTCGGGACAGCTCGGAGGTGACTACAGGAGAAACGACTGACAGAGAGCTCTGCACCTCACGGAGTTAAGGGCGGCAATTGCCCGATCTCTTTGTGGACAAACTGCTCGGCGTTCTCTCTCTTAAGTCCAAGATTAGTCCTGGTTTAGACCTGGTTTGGTCCTGACCCACCCGTGTATAATTACTACCCGCCCGTAATACGCAATACACATTCATACGCTGTAAAAAAAAGAAAAAAAGAAAAGCACGCAAATTTACACAAAAAAAAATAATCCACAAAACAGCGAGACCACGAAAGGTGAACCGTGATATAGCGAGGGACAAGTGTAGATCGGAGCATTGACGTCTTGAATACAGCATAATAAAAGAATCACTCTAAATACAACTTCAAGAAGGTAAATGAGAAGGGAAACAACTACAACATGTTCAAAAGCTCTGAAAAGTTGATTTGGCAGAATAGTTCCACTTAAAGTTCATGTTGATCCTGTCCTCCTCGTGCCTTCCTCTGTTATTTACTTGCAGCACACTCCAGCAGCATCCATCACGTAGCCTGTGAGTGCATAAAGACATCTGTGGTGTTGACAGTGTCTCCTGCCTGAGCCCGCACTTTAAATGAGCTCTTTGCCCGGCTCTTCACTGCCATTATTACAGCGCTGTGCTTTAAAGGAGCGTAATGAGGCGAGAAGCATCCACTCCACTCTGTGTTTAGACTTTGTGAAGGCGGAACATTACTTCGCAACAAATGACCTCAAGGAAAGTTCACTGTGGGAGTAATTAGTCCCGGGCATGGCGGACGTGTGGAGATAGGGGGCAGCACAGAGGCACAGTCCAGGCAGCCAAACATGGGTTAACTATTCCTGAGTAAACAAAAGATCGAATCAACGCTACATCATTAACTGCAATTCTGTGCCATGTTTTGGTTTCACTTTGAGCTGATGTGTTGTTCCGCTCACTGACCCTGCAAATCCTATCATAAACAACTGACAGTTTCATTTGGAGATGTGCCGTTGTGCAAAACAAGCAGAAGAGTGTGTGTCCAGACTGGATGCTTAATTAGTGTATGAGCTGAGTTTTGGCACACGTTGCACTGCTGTCCTCTGGAAAATTAATTTAAATATATTCTTTCAATCTTTAGCCCTTAGTAAAAAAAGGTTTGTACTGGGTAAATAGTCATGTTTTTATACAGCACTTTCCCGTCTTCGAGGCGGCTCAAAGCACTTCACATTAAGGAACCACTCACCCATTCACACACACATTCATCCACCAGTGTACGCAGACACTGGGGGCGAGGTAGGTGACTTGCCCAAGGACAACAAGAGTATACATCTGTGGGAGCTGAGATCACACCGTCAACCTCTGGGTCAATAGATCAAACTCAAATACTCTTGCTTATCTTTCTAGAGGATGGCTGTAACACACTAAACTACTTGAGTGAAGTCATATTCCCGCGATCTACCGTAAAAAGATTATTCTCACTAAAATGAAAATGAAAAATAATAATCCTCCTTTAACGGCCATTCCCGATTTTCATTTAGATTCTTTTTACAGTGATAAAATGTTTTTAAATGGTATGTTTAAATGGTAAAATAAATAAATAAATAAATAAAAAATTTAAGTCTTAAGTTAAGTATTTTCATGAGCACAAACAAAACAAAAGAGGTTACATTTATTCAAGTAATAGTCCATCAAATAAAGTTTGTTCTACAAAAGTTATGCAATGCCATTACTTTTTAACACGAAGAGGGCTGTACAATAGATTTTGGTTATCATCTTCTCTTCATGCTCAAGCTCAAAATGATGTTTATGAAAAAGAAATGGTATGTCATGTTGCTTTTCCTTTAACAATACAGTCCTTTCAAAAGAGTCTTGTTTTTCTTTGATTATCCTGCTTTAGGGTCATTCTTTCCATTTTATCATTTATTGGCTATATTTCCTGAAGAATTTTTGCTCTGCCAAATGTGTTATTGTGACAGACTTAGACAGACAAATCTAATACCATAGTGTTAGCAAAGTACTAACATCTCCATGGAAACATGCAAGTGACAGACCCTCTATTTGAAAGTTACACAGTGCAGTTCATGGAGTGGATCCATCCTAAACTCTGATCTGGTTTAAACTTTTAGAAGCGCGTTAGTGGTCGTGTGTGTACGAGTCAAGTGTATTCGTAAGAGTCAAGTGTATGCATACTGATCATGTCTGTGTGCATGGGTCACGTGTTTGCACATGGGTCATACTGTGTGTGTACGGGTCATGTGTGTGTGTACGGGTCATGTGTGTGTGTACGGGTCATGTGTGTGTGTGTGTGTGTGTGTGTGTGTGTACGGGTCATGTGTGTGCGTACGGGTCGTGTGTGCGTACGGGTCGTGTGTGTGCGTACGGGTCATGTGTGTGTACGGGTCGTGTGTGCGTACGTGTGTCATGTGTGTGGGACATGTGTGCGCGTACGGATCGTGTGTGTGCGTGTACGGATCGTGTGTGTCATGTGTGCGCGTACAGGTCATGTGTGTGCATAAGGGTCGTGTTTGTGTGTACGGGTCATGTGCGTGTACGGGTCATGTGTGCATGCGGGTCATGTGTTCACGTACTGGTCATGTGTGCACGTACGGGTCATGTGTGAATGCGTACGGGTCATGTGGTGCATAGATCGTGTGTGGGCATACGCGTGTGGTGCATGTGTGCGCGTACGGGTCTGTGTGTGCGTACGTATGTGTGTCATGCGTGTGTATGTGTGCATGCGTGTGTGCGTATGGATCATGTGCGCATGTATGGTTCTTGCGTGCGTGTACGGGTCCTGTGTGCGTGTATGCTGTCTGTGCGTGTGTATGCGTATGTGCTGGTGCGTGTGTACTGTGTGCGTACCGTCATGTGTGTGCGTACCGATCATGCCGTTGACCGTCCCGAAGAGCACGGAGCCCTGTGTGGGGGTGGAGCTCTCGCCCAGGTTCTGCAGCACCAGAGAACCGTGACAGAACACGTTGACAAACTCCCCCAAGTGGAACACCCCCACCTCCTGCAGGTGCTGCCTCTCCTCATCTGTGGTGGCCGCGCTGGAAACAAGCACAGGGACAAGACATGATTAGGAGACAGGGAGAGATGGGGAAGAGAGGAGAGGGGAGGGAGAGGGGTGGAGTGGAAAAAGAAGAGGGAAAGGAGAGAGGGAGGAGAGAGAGGGAAGAGAGAGCAGAGTAGAGAGACAGAGGAGGAGATTGAGAGATGAGAGGGGAGAGACAAGAGAGAGAAGAGAGGGAAAGGAGAGGGGAGAAGGCGGGAAAAGAGCGTGAGAAAGTGCAGAAGAGATGGATAGAGAAAGAGAGAAGATAGGAGGGGATAGAGAGAGAGGAGAAAAATGAGCAAAAGGAGAGAGTATAGGAGAGAGAGAGAGGGAGCAGACAGCCAGAGCATGTTGACTCGTTTTCACAGAGCATGTTTACAGCACGCTGCAAAAACAAGCACTGAGTCACAGGCCAAACACACACATTTGTCAGAGAACTTTAGTTTAAATTCTACTCTTTTTCTCTGCTGGGCTTTGACATTTGCATTTAGCCCAAACCAATAATTCAAGGTGGGTGATGTATCGTCTACAAGATAGTGTCAAACGCTGTTGTTTTGAAGGATCAGGCAGAGGGAGAGGAGACAGCAGGGACATGTTTACAGCGACAAGCAAAAACAAGCACTGAGTCACAGGCTAAAATATGAAGGAATTTCTTTTAAAAGTTAAGTGCATATGAAATGAAAACTTTTATTTTTACCGTTTAAAATATTAAATTCCTCCCAAATTAATTACTGTATTTTCCAGACTACAAGTTGCACCAGCCAAAAAAATGTGCAATGAAGAAGAAAAAAACAACATATATAAGTCGCACTTTTTGGGGAAATGAATTTGTAAAATCAGAGACCAGGAACCGACAATTCATCTTGAAAGACAAGTTATAGTAACAATAGAATAGAGAACAACAGAACAGTAACAATAGAACTGAGAACAACAGGCTGAATAGGCGTTAATATGTTAACGTAACATATTGACAGTTATTCAGCTAATTATAAACAACAGAACATAAGTTTACCAAACACCATTCACTCCAAATCACTAAATCCATTGAATTCTTCATTCTCGGGGTCACCTCTGCACAACCTCCAGAGATAAACCATAGGTCCATGATGTAAATGGAGTGTCGCTTTCTCTTCTGCGTTGCTGTTGTCAGACTCAGCATCAGTTCCAGTTAAAATTATTCCAGTCTTTCTGAATCCCGACAGGATGATTTCAGTTGTCATTGAAGTTCAGGCTTAGTCGATTTGTCCAGTGACTTCCAGGAAAGCCCTGGTTTTACGGTAACCAGGCGGGTTGTGTTCTCAATCCCTGCTTCCCACCAGTCCCTCACAAGTTTCTCACTCACTCCAAACTTTCTTTCTGCTGCTCGATTACCGTTTTCGGCTGAATATTTCACTACTTGCAGCAGGACAGCAGCTCTTTCTGCAGGAGGCATGCGCAGTAGAGTGCGAAGTGACGGTGGTACACGAGTAATAGTAGTACTAGATACTGACACACAAGCCTAGAGTGCCCTCTTGCGGATGTCAGTCTGAAAATTTTAATATCTAAGTTGCATCAGAGTATAAGTCAGAGGACCACCCGAAGCATGAAAAAAAGTGTGACTTATAGTCCGAAAAATACGGTACGCCATTTTCTGATCTATGTTATAATGTTCTTCACCACAAACTGACCTGGAGTTGTGTTTTGTCTTCTTCACATGCCAGGATATCTCCAGGTTTGACTACACAGTACACAAAATAATGCTTAAAAGGTGCATTGTGTAACTTTTCTCCAAGGAGATGTTGTTGCTTTGTCTGGAATGTTTCACAGTTTGACATTAAACCTTTCCATCTTCAGGGAGACCAAACCAGACCAAGTTACAGGTCAGATCTGTGGAGAGCCAACCCCGCTCACAGTCAGAATGCCTGTTTTTCTAAGGTATTTTTGAGCTATAAAACCACTTCTAATTGAATAAATGTTAAGTAGATCAGTTTAATGTCATACTGCGGAACATTCTAAGCAGAGCAATGACATATCCAGAGAAACAAGCAGGTGACGGACCCCCAACCGAAAAGTGACGCAGTGCACATTTGAGCCGAAAATGTTTTGAAAGTTTAAAGATGAGCCGCCGCCGATAAATGATTCATGTGTTGTGTATGAACCGTGTGCCTGCTCAGGATTAAAAAGTGAGGAAATGAGACATCAGACACTAAAGTGATGGGACGACTCCAGAAGACGCATCACAGCGACGGCCCCTGCATCCATAAGCTCTGAGCGCAGAAGGGACCGCTTTGGAATTTAAGAGGAGTGCCAAACGTTTCTTTGTCTTTCCCCACACGTTTTAAGCTACCTTGAGAGCTGCCTGGCATATTTAAATGGACCTACTTAACTAAGGTTGTCAGAAGTATTGAAAATCAGATGCTAATCGATGCCAAGACTACAGTAGTTTTGAAACTAAATAGAACAGGTATCAATCCTAAAAAAGTCACATTCACAATATACTCCATAATGTGAGTAAAATAAAAACATGTCTAATCCTCAGTATCGAAATAAGAGTATAAAATAGATTTTAAAGTGTAGAGTATTATGACAAAACTAGAGCCAAAATGGAAAATGAAAAATGAAGATCTAGGTCACCATACTGTTCATGGCAAAGTACAAAGTAATCAATAGGAAAAAATGCAGAGAGTATGACATCTAGAGCTGCAACGATTCAGTTCGTAGATGTATTTTCTTGGTTGACATTGTTGATTATGTCGATGGCTGTACGGGCGCACTACAGACTGTTAACACTGTCAGCTGTTCTTTAAACACCCATTGCTCTGACCATGTGGGGCTGACCATAATTTTCCGCCTGTGTATTAGAGCCTTAAGCGATATTTTATGTCCTTGTGTTGAACCCTATAACTGTCTTGCACGACACAGTAACATAATCAGTAGGGATGTAATGATATCCAAATCTCACGCTGTACATCTCACGGTACGATATTTATTGCAATATTTTGTGGAGGCTAACAAAATTGTGAATATTCTACTTTTTTTTTTTAAGTAGAATATTTAATTCAAGGAAGTAAGATTTGAAACTGCTTAGAACTGTTATTTCTTCATGTAGTTTGCACCAAAATAGAGCAAAAGATCATGATCTATGTTGTTCCCTCTGGGTTTTTTTTTAGCTATTGCTGCACCATAACAATGAATTTAAGCAAAAAAACTTGTGATTCGATATATTGTTATGGCCCATGATATTATTGTGAGACTCTTGACGATACGATATCATGATGTTTTGGTTATTGTTACAGCCCTAATAATCAGCAATGTTTCTATAAGATAAAATACACTTTTTATCAATCTAACTAATCAAAACAACAACCTTTATAGAAAATTAGGATCGAAAATTAGTCGTTAGGTGGTGTGTAATGATATCCAAGTCTCGCAATACGATATCGTCACAGTATGAACCTCACGGTACGATATTTATTGTGATATCGTGGGAAAGCTCCCGATATGGTGGGGAGGCTCACGATTAGAGATGTAACAATATCCAAATCTCTCGGTACGATATTTTCACGATATACATCTCACGGTACGATATTACGATATTTTGTGGAGGCGAACAAAGCTGTTAATATGTTACTTTTTCCTCTTAAATGTCTAGAAAAGACTTAATCCAAAGAACTAAAAACTTAAAAGCGCTTAGAACTGTTATTTCTTCTTGTAGTCTACGCTGAAATGGAGCAAAGGATCATGGTCTATGTAGTTCTCTGTCTTTTTTTTTTAAGTATTGCTGCACTATAACTCTTGAAATAAGCAAAGAGGCGTCGATATATTGTGAGGGTCCATGATGTTATTGTAAGAACTTTGACGATACAATATCACGTACTGTATTTCGGTTATTTTTTACCCTAGTATCCCTAGTCATTAGATTAATTGATAAGAAAATAATTGCTAGTTGCAGCCCTAATGACATGATCACAATCTAGAATCTGAAAACCATCAATACTGTAAAACTGATCATACTACAGGGCTGGCTACAAAGTGATATGTGGCTTAATATTGTGTATTTTCAGAAATCTCACTGTAAGCTTAGATGGAAAATGAGTCATGTCGTAAAAAGACCATGATTCTTTGCTCCATTTCATGCAGCTAACACTTTAAAATCCCCCATGAGCCTTTAGTGCAATCATACTTGTCGTATTTCAAAGAGGAAAGGCCACGCATTAAAGACTAAACGTTATTCTCTCTCTCTCCGTCTGTGCGTGTCTCTGTCTCTTTGTCTCTCTCTCCCTCCTCCAGCCAAACAGAGGCTTCTGGAGCTGATAATAATGCGATTTCTGGAGTCATAACATTATTAAAGTGACATGTAAACAGCAAAATAATCAGATTTCTCCATAATCCTGGTCTCTCTCTGATTACTCATATCAGATTTTGTGGTTTGCATGTTATTTAATGAGCCCTTATTACACAAAATTGACAGTTGTGAGCTTTAAGTCATGTTATAATACTGTAACCTCCTCAAAAACAGACCTGGAGTTGTGTTTCGTTTCATCCACACAAGTTTGAGTAAATCCTTTATTATTAGTCTGTCTATATCTCCAAAGCTCAAAATGCTCTGTTCCACCTTGTGATGTAATGAAGTGGTAGTTTTTAATTTAACAGCTACTTTTTACTTTTTGTTCAGTAGAGGTTGGCAATTCCAGATTTTAAGTCATCCAAATGATTCTAGTGAAGGGGTAATGGAGTTAAAAACACAGTGGAGTGCAATCTGTATTATTACTGTATTTTCTGCACTATAGGGCGCTCTGGATTATAAGATGCACGTCATTGAATGGTTTATTTTCAAACTTTCACAACACTTTTCACAAATAAACCACACCGGACTTTAAACGAAGCACGACAGTTAGATGGTTCAGTTGGACTTTGGCGCGTTCACGGTGACTCTCGGCTTCGTTCAGTTGTGGCGTGTAGGGAGGGCGTTGTCTGGGACTCAGTTGTTCAGTTGTGTCTAGAAGTGGCAGATTG